ATAATAGTATTCAATAGATAAAAATAAACAATAGGTAGAAATATACCGTATACAGCAATATTGGTGCAGAATAATAATATGGCCAAATAACTGCTGCTTAAGGCCAAATAAATTGTCTGTCATTATAGCTATCACCTTCACTATTTCTACCATTAAATGGTAAAATTTATTTATAGGAATTAAGTAAGTTATACGGTAATTGCCTTTGTCATCCCTATTATTATTCTCCATATACAAGAGGTATCTTTTTATGGTAAGTACGCTATATATATGCCATTTTTCCATAAGGAAACAAGAAATGCATTTTCTCCATGGATAATTTAATCACTTGAAAGGCCATATTTTACTCTGCTTTTCTTCACAATACCTTCATATTTTCTTTTTAGTCTCAACAGTGTGGACAAATGGTAAAAAAGTATCAATTTTAATCAGGAAAACATGTGTCTTTTCAAAAGTACCGTAAAATGGGGTAACTTAGACCGGCTGGGTAACTTAGACCACTTTTTGTTTTTTTAACAAAAATCCCCACAACTCAAAAACTATTTGACATAGAAAAATTTTGTCAATGGGCATTAAAGGCCTAATACTGAGGCTACATAACACAATAGAAAGATTTGAAAAGTTTGCATATCTAATAGGTTAAAAAATTAAAAATGTGACCCACGAAAAAAAGCTATTATTTAAAGCCTGTCAGAGTACCCCCTCCAATTTTTTTATTTTTTGGTTAAATAACTCCAGGTTTTGAAGCATTGTAGTAGAACTCTTCTAGTTACATATGCAAATGACAAATTTTAGGAAAGTGTCATATAGTTTGCAAATGGGGGGCACCACCCCATAATGGGGTAACTTAGACCACCTAATGTCAGCCCTGACGGGGTAACATAGACTGGCTTGGAAGTTAATATAAAATTACCATATATAACATATTTTATGTTTGACAGCCTATTTATGTTTTTTCTTTATGTTTCAGACTCTACAGAGTCTTATATATGGTAATTTTAACTTAATTTCCAAGCCAGTCAATATTACCATATCAGGGCTGCCATTAGGTAGTCACATTTCCCTCATTATGGGGCGGTGCCCCCATTTGCAAACAATGACACTTTCCTCAAGTTTGTCATTTGCATATGTAACTAGAAGAGTTCTACTACAATGCACCAAAACCTGGAGTTATTTGGAGTTATATTACCAAAAAATATAATTGATTTTACAACCCGGTCTAAGTTACCCCAAGGGCTGGGGTAACAAAGACCATCACTTTTTTTGAAATTACATAAAGACTATGAGAGGCAGGAGCCAGCAATTTATGGTGAGTGAAGCTAGAGTATAGACCTGTATTTTGCATGTTTCAATTCAAGTTTAATTTAGCTAGTAAAAAAATGGCATCATTTGTAAAAAAAAAGTGGTCTAAGTTACCCCATTTTACGGTATGCTAAATTTTGCTTGTTGTGGCTCTTATGACGTTATATATAGAGGCTGTTGGGGCACGTATACAAGATACTTATCATGTATATACTACCTATATACACAATATATACGTAGTAGGTAGTCGGATAGTCGTATAGTAGTAGTAGTGTAAATGGCATCGTGTGTATAGGCCTATACTATATACTACACAATATATAGGGATTCTATACAAAGTGTTAGTTTGAAGGGGTCTTGTGTTAAATTGAAGGGGTCTAAAAAAGTCTCTGCTTCGCTTTGACACTTTTTCCTACAAATTGTAATTTTGACCACTATTTTACAGTTTTTCTTGACAAGTGGCAACTTGTATGATGTATGATGTTATGTGTAGAAATGATGGTTTGATTGCTTTCATACTGTGTAGTGTGCACTCATGACTATGTCCATGATAGGTCAAGATTCAACGTTTCCACCTTGACCACTTTTTGTTTTCAAAATATCAGCTGATTAATTTACATTAAAATTAAGAAGTCAACTTACAGGTTTTTTACACAGTTTATATATACCTGTGTGGGCTGTACCTATAGGCTATCTATATATATCAATTCCAACTTTTTTAACTATACCTGAAATGAACATTTCCCCCTATACAAACTACTATCAAAATAGTTTGTCTAACAATCTGATCTTTAATTAAATTATGAATTAACGAAATCATGATATTATTTCTCATTCATGCGCCTACCATCATATATGAATGAGTATAGTGAAAATCACTGGCTTTATTTAAAAAATTTTACAATAAAAGTCAATTACAATCGTTATTCGAATGATGACTGATAAACCAGCTTGAAATTTGTCTGTGTTTACATTATTGTGTGCACCAACACGTTTGTATTTGGCGGCTCCGAATTACAGGTACGCGAGTGAAATCTAAGAAGACTTTTTTTTTCAGAAACTATGCCTCAAGAAGCCACCAAATGCAAACAGGATATAAATCATACTCTTATTTATTGAAGGTACGCTTCCATTTCTCTGAATGAAGCAGCCATTAGGAAAAAAATAAATTCTAAACTACTAAACTGAACAGCGGATCACGTGCGGACGAAACATTTTGAAACTGAGACGAGAAATAAAAGCCGTTGGTGGAAACACCAAATTTAAATCGCGTGCATCATAAAAGATCAAGACATGCCGTGAAAACAAAATGAAACTTTAAGTTGAAATAAATATTCAATTGCAGATAGATTGAAAGTGTATTAGCTAATTTGACATATAAAAGGATATACCTTCAAATGGAGTAGTTGGCATCTCCATTTCAGGCTCCCTTTGCCCTCCCCCAATGTGTTACAGGGCTGCCAACCCAAACACTGATGATGGCAGCGGTCAGCCCTACACATTGGGACCAAATCAACATTTTTCCTAATATTTGTTCAAGTTTTTAAATAAATAACTATCAAATGCCCATACGCTCAATAAATTTGACAATCAAGTTCAACTTTGAAATCGATCTTCAAATATTAGCAGGTGTACAGTTGTCTATACTGTTCACGACGAAAACTGTAGGGTAGTCGAACGAAAACGATAAACGTTTCATGATTAGATAATGGGTTTGAATTGCATTATTTCATTGAGTCTGCAATATATTTTATATAAAATAATCAAGTTTAGCTATTTACATGATACTCACAGCCTTACATCAAAGTTCCACGAGCATAACATAGATGCCGGTTTAGTTGAGTCCACCCTAAAGACAGAGCCAGCAGCGACTCGCAAGCATGTAAATCAATATGCCGAGCTCACAGGCCCCATGAACATTTTACAAAACGAACAGATTTTTTACACAAATACACAAGTCTGGCAAATATTTTATCAACCATAAGATGCACTGGATATTCACTCACACTGAACTAATACTTGGTCCTCAATTTTCTAAGGAAAATTGAGTGTAATAATGGATTTTGTACGAGCTCGCGAGATGCATGCTATGAAGCACCGCGCGCACCTATACTACCAATGGAACATTTCCATATGAACAAACTTACACACGATTTCTATTAAAAACAATTTCTGTATACAATTTGTCTAAACAATAGTCGGAAATCATCTTAGAAATTCCCAGGGTTATTTTTACCGGATAAAATGCATTCCTAGGCTCCTGTAAAGGTATGTATATATTGGAAGATGAAGCGCTAGAAAATTCATGGCAATGACGCAGTTGCAGACGACGCCATGATGGTTCGTGGGCTATATATAAATCCCATTGATCGTAGCCGGCAGGTTCTTGTAGAACATATTAATTAACTTGATTATTTCTTACCTAACCCCGCAAACAAGTCCTAATTTTTTTCGCACTAATTTGAATAAAAAATTTGTGACTTACTGAAAAATGGCGGGATAACAATGTTATCAGAAGATTATGTCGTCTCAATTTATCTCTAAATTGAACTCTGTAGAGCTGAATATTTCGAAAACCGCTTAGAAGATAGTAAATTCAAAGATAATTGCATACATGTGTAATTACCAGGCGCCATTTTTACTTATATTTTATTTCATATAAAGTTTTATTTTGTAATATAAAAAATGTTTTACTTATGTACCAATTCATTTAGAATATATTTAACACTGCGGTCATAAGTTCTTCTGTGATCCTAAGTTCTACTGTGGTTGTAAATTCTACTGTGATCGTAAGTTCTACTGAGATCGTAAGTTCTACTATGACTGTAAGTTCTACTGTGGTCGTAAGTTCTACTGTGATCGTAAGTTATACTGTGATCGTAAGTTCTTCTGTGGTCATAAGTTCTACTGTGGTCGTAAGTTCTACTGTGGTCGTAAATCTAGACCGTCCAGCAGCCCCCACATGTCTAGACCGTCCAGCAGCCCCCACATGTCTAGACCGTCCAGCAGCCCCCATATGACTAGACCGTCCAGCAGCAATGGCTGATGGCATCCATGGCTTTAGGCATTTAAATTTAAATGCTAATCTACTTATTAACAGCCTATGGCTCCTAGTACTTAAGTTTAAATGCTAATTAATTAATTAAGTTCAAATACCAATGCTAAAAATATGTAAGCGATAGCTGTTTTGGGCCATGCAAATCTCAAAAGAGAAGACTTCTCGTGCCTCTGGCAGGCGTAAAAATCGGAGTAAATACACATAGAATTTTTCAATAAATTTCTAAAAATTTATTGATTCGAGTGCCGCCATATAAAAAAGGTGAAAGTAAATGTCTGGTACCTGATCCAAAGTGGCATATGGCCTGTGAGGTGAGAGCTTGACCGGACCATGTTCATTATCATTGATATGAGTCATACAATGAATAAATTATTGTATTTTGTGACCAAATTGTCACATTGTCATTGACAGTATACAAAATTGTCATTGATAGTATATGGCCGCATGCACTTGAATAATAATAAAATGAGGTATAAAAAGTATTGCTGTGTTCACAGATAATGTATGGGCGTTATTTAATAAAGAAATTCCGTGATTTTCCACGTGAAGTAAGTCGAATTCACATCAGTCATGGGGCAGAAGTTTGACGTCTTGAGGCGGCGGGGCTGAGGTGGCGGGCAGCGGGCATTGTAGAGGAGACTGTGGTCGAGTGAGGGTGTATGTGTCCATCGCTCCGTCCTGGATCTACTCTCTACCAAGAATATCCCATGAATAAAAGTGATTATTACATCTATTCACTGTGAAATTTATCGTGATTTGAGTGCTTTATTATAGAGCATTGACAAGTGAAGTGATTTGCATTGAGTTATTAGATTTAAGTGATCGATATTTCGAGTTTGAGGGCACAAAATGTGTGGGAGAGCGAGCCTGGTGCTCGGATTGTTGCTTCTGGCGACCTCTGGCAAGGATGTTGGCGCTGGACAGCTTCCAGGTAAAGCTCTTTTTTTATATATATATATTTATATGTGGATCTTTATGGTCATATAATAGCATTACGCGCTACAATGAGTCATGGTATTTCACGGCTAAAATGGCCTGTTAGTTATCAAGGTTATTCTGTCTGTATATTGTAAACAATACGTTTCTACGTCTGATTTTAAAGAGCACAAAAAGCGCAGGCCTTTTAACTTCTTTTCTCTCTTTAACTTCCTTTATTTCTACTCTCTTTTAAGTTTTATTTGTTTCTTGGCTCCTCTTCTCTGCTCTTTAACTTTTATATGGAGTGCAACTGCTCTTTAGTTATTATAAATTATTAAAATATTATTGAATGAACAAAAGTAAACGGGCCAAATCGCCATTTTTACGGGCCATTTTCGGGTCACAATGACCTTTAAAAAGGGCATGAAGTGCCTCGATATTTGGACAAAGACTCGCTAATTTTATTGCGTGCTGCACAAGCTGTTACGTTGAACGTGTTTAGACGCTGTGTTGTTTTGTCTGTGTAAACACTAGGGCTGTGTAATTGTGTAAATCAGTGGTAGTTCTGGTAGCACTAGTAGCAAGAAGGTTCTTATCACTTGTAGTTCTGGTACCACTAGTAGCAAGGTTCTTATCAGTGGTAGTTCTGGTACCACTAGTAGCAAGGTTCTTATCACTGGTAGTTCTGGTAGAACTACTTGTAGAGGTGGCAGTGGTAGCTTGATAGGTAGCAGCAGAACAACCAGACTGGCTGCAGGTTCTACCATATACCACACAGAAGAACTGTTGGTACGCTACCAGCAGGTGCAGCTTGAAGTGCGACAGGGCCGACTGAGCCTGGAATTAAAAGTTAATTAAGTTTGGAAGAAAACTTTCTCCAAGAAAAAATTATCTATCTAATAATTAATGTGAAATTTTTCCAGTTTCATAACACTTTCTTAAAAAAATTATGTATATATTTATTTACATGAAATTTTTCCAGTTTCATAAAACTTTTTTCAAGAAAAAACTATCTAAATACTTATTTATGTGAAATTTTTCCAGTTTCATAACAATTTCTGCAAGAAAAAATGATCTTTCAATTTATATTTGTGAAATTTTTTTCAGTTTTCCCATTAAAATCTACATTTAAATGTGAATTTTTTCCCCATATGTGAAATTTTTCCAGTTCTACCATAGAAATTTACATTTAAAGATACACAATATTTATGTACATAGAGATTGCATAGACTTGGGATCTGACCATCAGATTGATAACCAGACAAATAATTAACATGGACATAATAATCATCAATAATCTATTAAACAAATGTGTGAACAATGGAAAGTTCTCAAATAAATGTGGAAGTTTGCAAAAAAAAATAAGTGTATAACTAACCTGCTACAAAATTATATATTTAAATAATACATCAGAGTATGAAGATGTGAAATGGAACTCTAGTAGCTAATTCCTTCTCTTCTTAGCAAAACAATCTATAGCTAATTTAGTAAACAAAGTCAAATTTCTAAGACTTCATTAAAAATACACTGATTGGAATGACAAATTTAAGAGTTTGTTTATACATGTGAAATGAAACCCAAGTACGGTAGCCAAGTTGAACTTCTTAGAGGTCATTTGAAAAAATTGGTAGTGATCAGAATAAAGAATTAAAGTTTTTGTGTTTACACTGACCTCTAAGAAAGTGAACAAATAAATCAGTAAATAAATCAGTTTAATTTACCAATCAATTAATTTTAATTTAAACACTTAATTAATAACAATCAATTTTTAACAATCAATTTATTTTAATTTTAACGCGTTGACTCCGAAGTGGTACATATGCGTACCACGAAATGTATTTCTCCAGGAGGTAGTGGTACATAACACGTTGGCCGCGATGTGCGCCATATATGTACACGCTGTACTTCTTAGAATCGCGATGTGTACACATGTGGTACATTCATATGAAAAATACATATTTTTATAAAATCTTATTACTCTTTCAAATTCAAAATTTCAATGATGCAATTAAATAGGCATGTTAGGGAATGCTTTGAAGTCAACTAATGCTTAGAGAAATAGTTTTATTTTCAAATGCAAGTAATAACCCCCACCACCCTTCCTGCAGGTGGGTTGCCCCCCACCTCCCCAGCAGGTGAGTTACTCCCACCCCCTCCTGCAGGTGGGGGTGAGGTGGGGGCAACCCACCCATCCTCACTTATATCAACCTGTCATTTTTACCACCTAATTTTTATCAATATCAATTGAGAAAAATTCTTGATATATTACATCAAGAATATGTAGAACTTGGAATGCTTTTATACAATGTAAATATAATTTAAATAATAAATAACAAACGCATACTTTTATATATTCTTAGTGTAGTTCATTATAAAATAAATAATATATATAAATTATAATTGAATAATTCCTATTTTGTGCAGTTGGCGGGGGCGAGGAGGCAGGGGGCACGTCTCCCCCAGGTGGGGGAGAGGGGGAGGTGGTGTACGAGTTCGAGGGGGAGGGGGTTGTGATCCCCCGGGGGGTGCTGAGCCACGCCACCTTCAGCAGCACCTTCAGCATCAGCACCTGGATGAAGCACGCCCCCCCACATGATGGGGATAAGGTGGGGGGAGGGGGGTCGTAAGTGGGTCATGAGACACAAGTGGGTCATGGGTCACAAGTGGGTCATGGGTCACAAGTGGGTCATGGGTCACAAGTGGGTCATGAGCTACTAGTGGGTCATGGGTCATGATGGGGATAAGGTGGGGGAGGGGGGGATGAAGCACTCCCCCCACATGATGGGGATAAGGTGGGGCAGGGGAGTGTGGAGTGGGGGATGATGGGGTGTAGTGGGGAGTGGTGAGGGGTTAGTGGTAAATGGGGATAAAAAGGTTCGATGGGGGAGAGTTGAGGGAGGGAGGATGGGGGGATGAGGGGTTAGTGGGGAGTGGTAAGGGGGAATAAGGGATTATTGCGGAGTGGGGTGAGATAAGAGGGTAAGTGGGTCGATGAGGGGTTCAGTGGGGAGTGGTGAGAGGGGATGAGGGGGCTAGGGTAGCGAGATGAGGATGTGGGGAATGGGACGACTGTGACGACGAAGGCGGTGGCTCAGCATGGCTGTGGGCAATGCCACCTTTTGTTATCGGTATTGCCAACATGAGTCAGTTTGACCCACATTCAGGTCGGGCTTTGCCAGACCATATCCCCAAAGTGGTCTTGACCTCGTCGCCCTCCGTCTCCGAGTCCTCGCTAGGCAGGTCCCATGTATCCTTGCTTACACATATCCTTGGGTAAATGCTGGTATGTGACAGACGTGCCCGATCCTGCTTCAAAATGAATCCAAAACTGCTTGAAATCAGCTCAAAACCTGCTCTAAATCAGCTTACAATCTTATCCACATTGGCTCAGAACCTGCTCTAAATCGGCTTAAAACCTTCTCCAAATCGGCTTATAATCTGCTCTAAATCGGCTCTGAACCTGTTCAAATTGGCTCTGAACCTGCTCTATATCTGTCTCTTATACACATCTAGATGTGTATAAGAGACAGGTATTACCGTGCCCCGTATTACCGTGCCCCCGTATTACCAT